TGTTTGCCCCTCGGTCTTGTGTTCCCTCTTGTTGTGAGGTCAAATCGTGCCTCCTGTTTTTGTATTTTGCTCCCTAGTGTTTCATTTGAGTTTCTTTAGTTCTTGTGTCTGATTTTGTAGTTTGTTTTGGTTTTGTCCCTTGTGCCCCTGCTTGTGTCTTTACCTGTTTTATTCCCTAGTGTTGGTTTCTGTTTCCTTGATTAATTCTTAGTTTCCCTGATTGTTAGTGTCTTTGAGTTAATTGGTTTCACCTGTGTCCTGTTTCCCTAGTCTTTGTTAATCAGCCTCACCTGCCCTGTGTTAGTCATTACCCCCGTAGTATAGTACTTCCTGCCTTTGTTCTGTTCCCCGCTGGTTCATCGCGTCGTGTCTTGTCTCATGTCTAAGCTCGTGTCTCTGAGGTCTATGGTTTGTCTATGGTTTGTCTATGGTTTGTCTATGGTTTGTCTATGGTTTGTCTATGGTTTGTCTATGGTTTGTCTATGGTTTGTCTATGGTTTGTCTACGTCATCTATGCCCTTGTCTAGTCTTGTCTCTGGTTTTACTTTAGTGTCGTGCTAGTTAGTTTTCCTTGTGTGTTATTTAGTTTAGTTAATTCCTCCCTGTTTTAGTTTTGACCCCTCGTGGTCTTTTTGGTTTTGTTGTGTTTTCTGTTTTGTTTAATAAACCCTGTTTTGTTTGCTGGAGCCGCAAGTGGGTCGTCCGCCCCTTCTTTGTGCACCATGCCCCGTTCCCGTTCCCGTGCCGTCCAGAACCATGACACATCCCTGGTCTTGATTCTCTAGATGCATCACTTAATGAGACAGTCAACCCAAGGGCGTAGATCTGGGTATGGACGGTATGGATATGCCCCTACCAGTGCTGGGGTGGTGGGGGGGAATAATTTGATCCCTACCAATGTTGAAACCAAATCTACACCCTTAAGCCAACCCCTATGCTGAAACTGAGTGGCATTACAAGGAGCTAACAGTGGCTTCGCAAAGGATTCTGGGAGCATCTCTTACACGTCGTTTCTCTGGCACATGCATGGCTACTATATACTCATTTTATTCTCCTACTACTACACCTGACACTGGACACCAAGCTTCCTGCCCGGCTCTGTCATGGTCGAGACTCTGTGCCACATAACAATGTCTCGCACTTGCCAGATGCCGTTAAATACTTTTCTAGGATTACTGCTGCGGCCGCTGAACGCAAAGTGAGCTAAACTCAGAGAGAACTCACTGGAGGCTTCATGCAGAAAAGCTGTTCCATAGAGACCCTGTGACAGTCCAACAAAAAGCCCTGTTCTGATATGCAGGTTCAGAAAAAGCAGATTGTACCGAAGAGGCAGCAAACTCCCCCATGGAAAACATATTAGTAGTGGCATGAAATACAAGATCTTCTCTTTCCTGAACAGTTTGACAATCAGAGGTGGATAGTTCAGGTCCAGAAAGTAAAAATCCAGCCCAAGATTTTGTTTCAACCAACTAATTGAGTATAAAGAGTCACAGTCACAGAGTACTCAACTGGTTGGTTGAAACAAAATCTTGGGATTTTGTGTTTGGATTTTTACTTTCTGGACCTGAACTATCCGCCGCTGTTGACAATCATTTAACTGACAGTATCTACTGCCATCTAGTGGACTTTAAAAAAAGTCTCTTACTGCACAGTCTGGCTGCCTCTTTATGATGCAGTTTTGTGAAATTCCAAGAAGTGATAGTAACTATCAGTGACTGTGTATGTTTGTCCACTAGTGTGCAGGTATGAGCCCAGGGGACGTGACTGACCGGCGTCTGGAAGCAGCAATACAGCTGCGTCAGGTAGGGGTGGCTATGAGCCAGGGACAAGACCCTCTTCTCCGTCATGGTGCACTCCACGTCATCATCCTGGAGGATGACGTCCTTCTTCAGCAGCTTCACAGCAAACACCTCCTCCGTTTTATCCAGGCGTGCAAGCATCACCTAGAGACAGGCACAGATGTGAACACACCTATAAAGGACTCCAACAACAGTGCCATCTTCAGGCAGGCACAGAAATGAACACACCCATAAAGGACCCCAACAATAGTGCCATCTTCAGGTAGGCACAGACAAACCTAATGTGACATTCCCACCTTGCCAAAGCTGCCTTTTCCCAGAACCTGCAGGAAAGTGAAGTCGGCCAAGCCAAGACGCTTGCTCTTCTGTTTTTCACTTTCAGTGGGGCTTTGTCCCTTTGAAGTAGGGCTTCGTTGATTACATGTGGCTTGTTGTGCCTGGGAGTAACCAGAAGGGGGAAACAGATCACAGGTCAGCCCACACAGTGAAGGTTTGACATGGGATTCGGGGGAAGGAGCAGAGGTGGGTAGAAGAGCCAAAATCTGCACTCAAGAAAAGATACTATTACTTAAATATAATAGCTCAAGTAAGAGTCAAAGTACTCAAACAACAAAACTTAAATTGTCCAAATAAAAAGCCTTTGCACTTCTTTAATAATCAAAACAATGTGTGTGAGAAGTGGCACATGAAAACAGCAACACAGACAGAGCAGACAGAGGTATCACTGGCTAAGTCAGACATCACTGGATCTGCTGCTAAGTGAAGTAAATCAGTGCCTACCATATAACAAATCCCAAATTAAACCATAGGTTTATCCTATCTTCCATATCTGAGCCTAATTAGTATTTGTGTTAATCAAACTGGCTTATTTTTAGCCAGAGTTGGCTTCTTTTCTGGCGGAACCCAGCTTTCCTTCAAGTCAAAGATGAAAGGTGAACTTCAGGATACATTCACACTATAGCTTGCATTAAGTCTTTCATACTTGTATCTAATACTTAAATGGTCTGGAGAAAAAAATGATGCTGATGGGATGGCTGAATTCCGTTGGTGAGACAGACACATAAGTGATGTCATCAAAAGGTGAGAGATGCTGGCATGTGTACAGGTGTGTGCTGATGTGTGTGCAGGTGTTTGCTGGCGTGTGTGTGGGTGTGTGCTGACATGTGCAGGTGTGTGCAGGTGTTTGCTGGTGTTTGTGCAGGTGTGTGCTGCTGTGTGTGCAGAGAACAGCAGTTACCAAGGAGCCATGTCTGGAGAGTCCGCCCGCCTGCAAGCCCATCTCCTTCAGGCAGTTGGCCAACTCCACGCTGTTGACCCCACAGCTGGGAGCGACGTTGCCCTTGCAGCGGATGTGGACGTTCATCTTACAGACTGCCGAGGGAGGTGGACACATGTGAGAGGACAAGTGCAGACATGCATGTGGGAAAAGATGCCAGTGCAGCAGCAGAGAAGCCACTTCAGCTTCGTTGCCAGCAGCACACCTGCTTGGTGCTCGTCACACTGCCTGCCATAAGGGCAACAAATACAAAAGCCTACCTTTCCATTTGTACTCTATTGTGAAACAGTGTTTGTATGTTTACAGCAGGGTTGGGGCCATTCCGGAATGCATTGATCAATTCCTGTCCAAATCAGGAAATGGAACTGAAGCTGGGATTGGAAAAAAAAACTATGGGGAACAGAATTGAAGTTGAATTTGAATTTCAGGGAGATTTAAGTTCCAACTCCAGTTCCATTTCCTTATTTGGACTGTAATTGATCAATGCATTCCGGAATGGCCCCAACCCTGGTTTACAGCTTGGATTGCATAACATAACATAAATAATTTAGTGGCAAAAAGACATATGAGGAGGAAAGAGATGGATAAAGCCTGAATAATAGGAAAGAAAGCTGAGGAAAACTGTGAACAGAAGTGTGAGTGAAACCATAATGGAAGAATGTGGGGGATATATGTCAACTGATGTTGATGAGCTGGTATTGGCGAGCTGGTATCTGTGAGCTGGTATTGGTGAGCTGATGTCTGTGAGCTGATATTGGTGAGCTGGTATCTGTGAGCTGGTATTGGTGAGCTGATGTCTGTGAGCTGATATTGGTGAGCTGATGCCTGTGAGCTGATATTGGTGAGCTGATGTCTGTGAGCTGGTATTGGTGAGCTGGTGTCTGTGAGCTGATATTGGTGAGCTGATGTCTGTGAGCTGATATTGGTGAGCGGGTGTCTGTGAGCTAATATTGGTGAGCTGATATCTGTGACCTGGTGTCTGTGAGCTGGTACTGTGGGTGAGGGATTGAGAGAGATGCTTACTCTTGCAATGCAGGCCCTGCTTGATGAGGCCCCACAGCAGCGAGCCACAGTGGTCACAGAAAGTAGGTGCCATGTAGTTGTGGATGTTAAATTTGTGAGGAACGTTGATGCTGAATCCCTGAGTGCTGGCCTGGGGGCGTTGGGGGGGGGGCAAGATGAAAAGGGGGTCAAACTTCACTGTTATACCCCTTACGCTGTCCTGGGGAAGCAGTGCTCAAACAAGACGTGCAGTACCAGACATGGGCAGTAGGTGGCACTGTGGTCTTTCACTGTGAGTGACAAAGCCCATTGACCTCTTGTTTCCAGTCACATTCTATACACACCACTGGCATAAAATCCATCTCTGACAGTAAAGGCTGAAATCCAGACATGCACAGTGGTGATATCTGTGAGGCAGTGGTGACTTAATGGTTAGGGACCAGCAAGGCACCACTGAGGTTCCCTGAGCGAGGTACCGCACCCACACACTGCTCCCCGGGCGCTGAATTAGCTGCCCCCTGCTACGTCACGTTGTCACATATGGGTTAAATGCAGAGGACACATTTTGTTGTTGTGCACTGTGTGCTGTGGTGTGTCAGCAATGACCACTGATCAGCAAATTCCAATATACTTCAGTGGATTATCAGTGTTGCTCTTTGAAGCTCGGCTCTGTAGCTCCCTGCAAATCTGCCTTAATCATTTTAACAAAGGTTCTCAATGGAAATTCAGGATAGATGTATTCGGCCCTCCTTTATACAACTAAAAGAAACTCAGTGCTATGCTTCTCAAAAAAGTACTTTGCAGTGACTGACCTTCACAGCTTCCTGAGAGATGCTCCCCACACCTCTACCAGAACGAGCGTCCACAGAGCATGTGTCAAACACAAACGTCTAACTAAGCATTAGCATTTAGCTGCTCTGTTGCCCTAAAAATGGCAGATGTGGCCCGCTGCTGAACCCAGCTGCATCTGATCCAACTTGACACTGCATGGTGACCTCTCACCTCCTCTGCGTCGACCTTCTTCATGCGTGGGCACGCCATCACCACCAGCTGGTGGCAGCGCTTGTGGACGACACAGGTGCAGACTGGGGGGAGCACAAACAGAGAGGGAGGTCACATGTTTGTGCGGGGGGTCTTAAGTGTGTCACATGACTTTTAGCTTGGCTCATCAGACAAATGAAATTGTCATAGGAACGCATTTTTTAAATTTTACACATTTCTTATAATAATTTATCACATTTCTGTTGTTAGGAATTCACAAAGCTGTTTATATATTTTTTTTAAATAAACTAAAATGATGGCTACTTTATTTATAGTTTTTGGTAATACCTCCAGCACCATGTTACTGACTGACACAGTAAGGCCAATATACTTCTTGTTTTTTTAATCACGTTTCTAATAAATCATTTTTGTCTTCTGGGACAGACGAGCACCAAAAGCCAAGCCCTCTGATTCTGTCAGCATGTTAATCATACTCACAGCAATGCAAAGGCTGTATGGAATGCATAAGACTGGGATAGCTATGATAGTCATGGCAGCAGTGTGAGATGTGGCGGGTGGGGGGGTAGTGTCGCTCACCTTGGCACTGGTAGCCCTGCTTCCCGAACACACCCCTGCAGATGGAGAAGAGCAGTTAGACCCACCAGAGTGACCAAGCCTGTCGGTGGTGCTATCAGTGTCGTGGCCTTTTCACACAGGGGTGTGGCTTATCCACACAAGGGAAAGTCCTTTTTGCAGAGGGGCGTGGCTTATCCACAAAAGGGCATGCCCTTTTTGAAGAGGGGTGTGGCCTTTTTTCACACATGAGCACAGCCTTTACACACACAGTGACTCTGACATATATATATATATATATATATATATATATATATATATATATATATATATATATATATATACATACAGTGATACCTCAGTTCTCAAACTTATTAGAACTCGAATTTCTCGAATTACCTAAAACTCGATTTGAATCTCAGAAGTCAAACCGTGAACGCCGACCTAAGATAACTTGTGTGCGCGGGGAAATTAATCACACGGCACGTCTCTCAGCGGAAACAAAGGGTAAAGCTTCAGTCTCAGCCTCGCATTCGCTGCGATAGCATCGTGCATGTTTACACTAGCTGAATACATATATTTTGACAGTAAAAATACATCTAGACAATGATAGACAGTAACAGTAATTATTATTATATAATAAAATACATTTAAAAATAAAGATTTCTTATTAATTATTTTAATATTAATAATAAACAATTAATACATTGAATTATAATAATATTGTCGTGCCCAGCGGGGACGGAACGGAGACAAAGGCGCAGACGTCAGGGTATCGGGGAATACGGGGTTTAATTACAGGTAAGGCAGGCAAAACGCAGACGGACAATACAATGACCAGAGTGGGGAAACAAACTGAAACACGGACGAAATACAGAGGACTAATAACAACAACCAGAAACAGCTGATTGCACAGGGATTCCACACAAGGTTAACAAGGGAGTTATTTTATAGGAGCGGATGATCGGGGCAGGACACATTGTTTTTTTTTTTACTTTACACATTGTTTGGATACATTTATTTTCTTACTTTACAAATTACTGTTTTGATAAATGTGCTTAGATATGTTTAGTACAGTATATGCTCTTCTTGTTTTATCCGGCTCATTTTGTGTTTAAATGCTAAGAAAAAACATATTTAGGTATAATTTTTGGGGCCGGGAACCAATTAATTGGTTTTCCATTATTTCTTATGGGGAAAATGCGATCAGAACTCAAACTTTTTGGGATTCGGTCTGGAGTTCTAAATGGATTAATTTCGAGTTCTGAGGTACCACTGTGTGTGTGAAGCCAAACAAGAACCAAGGACACACACAAAAAAATCCAAATTCTAAACATTTGCCCCTGAGGTCTGCAAAGGAGGCCATAGAGGCAGTTCATAAATACATTCTTCTATCAGTATAGAAGAGGAACTCTCTTCATTGCGGAAGTCTGCAATAGACACACTAATAAGGCAATAAAGGAACAGTGTGATGGTGGTACTAAGTGATATGACACCCAAAAGCATGTTAACAGCCAAACATAATGTGTCACACTGATAAACACGCGTTTGGAGATCAGAAAGATTAAATGTTACATTCCAGCCTTTCAGCATCCTTTGTCTTTTTATTTTATGTTTTACTAAAGTAGAGTAATTGAAAAGTATATAAATTAATGAGTTCATTTGGTTAAACGCAAGAAAAAACACTGCACGGCACGATGTTAAACACATGAGAGTTGCTACAGAGACTGGAAACCTGTCTGGGTGCATACTGCCATTGCCCAGCAGGAAGTATTGGACAGCATGTCGCCAACCCAGAAACAGAGCAAAATTCAAAGCTTGATGACTATAGAATGTGCATTGCTATCACACCATTGTGAGTGCTGTCACTCTAGCTTCACAATTGCTTGTGGGATTGGAGTGCTGACATTTCAGGGACTCCCCA